TATTTCAAATCCATCTGGACCCTTAGTCCATTTGTAACTTTCCAAAATCAAAGTTCTAATCCCTTTTGTTGTTTATTCCAAAAGAAAAATTGTTTTAAGTCCTTGAACATGTATTTAAAACTTCTTTCACTAAGGATTGAAAGAAGCTCACCCAATCCTGTAAAACTTGTCAATCCAAAGGTTCCAAATAGCTAAAAGGCAGTTAACAAGCAATTTCCAAAACTGATTAGAAGAGGAAGTATGTGAACCCAGTGTCCTTTTGACTGTCATTTGAGCAAGATAGCTATTCCCTCACCTCCCAGAGCTCTAAACCCACCAGAAAGCACTGTCTTGCAGTCTCCTTGTGAGGAGCAACAGTATGGAGTACTTCTAGGGGATCTCAAGTCCTCTCCTTGTCTGGAGAGAAGTTACGAAGATAACTTCTCTCCAGACCACGTCTTACCCATTCTATCACACAGATTATCTTTGCCATTTCTTCCCCAGAAGTCCTGTCTGTGGCTGTTCTTGAGCAAATATACACCCCTTGTGAATTATGAAAACAACTGGGGCAGAGCAAGGATAGAGTGAAAGTAAGCAAACATTTCTATAACCTGAAAGATCAGAGCAACAGATGGAACCTAATTTGAACCATACGTATGACATACCTTTCCTCCACAATTACAAGACAGTATACTCACCCATTGTGTTTCCATTTTTCCCACAACCACAACCACCCAGTGAGCTTTCATATCTCAGGTGGACCAGAAAGTGGAACTCCCCAGTCCCAGTCCAATGCCTTACCCATTCTATCACACAGGTTATCTGGAAATGATAATGAGAGAATCACACGTATTTGCTTGAGTTTTATATTACTTATTTTTTTCAGAGTGAAGAGAATTGTTCTGTTGATGGAGTTTATGCAACCTGGCCCCATCACGTGTTTAAGCCTGCACACATTTGTTCATCTGAATGGAACCTATATTATTACAGATCCAAATTAAGTTAACATGCATAATTATGCAAGCTTTCTGAACAGGTAGACTTAATAGTTGCTTTTCCATTAACAATTTCCTTCTTGGAGTAAAATGTTTATAGCCTCCAACCTTTCCTTCAATTGCTTCAGTGACATGAATGATTATAAGGCATCCGGTTGTTAACGAGGAAACTGTCGACTTCAAGCTGCACATCTGACCCCTTCTCATCAGCCTCACCCCCAGGACACCAAAGAAAAAGGCAGCTGGCTTGAAGCTAATGAGAAAATCAGAGCTCAGGAGGTGATATGATTTCTAATTCAAGCCAGATGCAGGACTTCTCAAGCAGCTTTTCCATATATGGGCAAGTACAAACACTCTAGTCCTCCACCAAACAGATGTGAGAGCAGCAGACAGGCAAACAAACTCCAAATACGGTTGCTGAATTCTCTGGTATGCAGGAAGACAGACTGAAAGAGGAAATGGGAGGAAGAAATGCAAGCCAATTCTTAGGCTTTGGGTTCCTTGCAATGGACAAATCTGTGATCCATGAGCATTTCAGGACTTTAAGGTTGAAGAGAAAGGCATGTAGAAGAATGAGAATGTGGACTGACACCAGTTAACCTAGGAGCACTCTCAGTCTTACTGTGTAAAACATCCTATAGAGACCCCCGCCCTTTTTTTTTTTTTTTGGTCTCTTTAGGTCATTGTTGACTCTTGGTGACTGCCTGGACAAGTCCCTGCAGTTTACTTGGCAAGATTTCAGAAGTGGTTTGCCCTTGCCTCCTTCTTCCTAGGACTGAGAGAAAGGGACTGGCCCAAGGTCATCCAGCTGGCTTTGTGCCTAAGGCAGGACTAGAACTTAGTTTCTAGCCTGGTGCCTTAACCACAACACCGAACAGACTCTCTTGTAGAGATCTTAAGTACCAGCAATTGGAATCGACAGAGGAAGAGGGTTATCCTTCTTGTGAGCTTCTTGGATGCACTGACTGGCCAATGTGTGGTGCAAATGCTGGACTAGATGAACCTTTGACTTGCTCCAGCCTCAAAGATCTGCTTACATTATGCAGAGCATTGGGAAAAAATGCTCTAAATACAGTTGTTAGATTCCAAAGCACAGGCTGGAAACATGAACTGCTCAAAACCACAGAGTAGCCCAACCTAATCTAGAGCAGTGATTCTCAACCTTGGCAACTTTAAGATGTGTGGACTTCAACTCCCAGAATTCCCTAGCCAGCATGCTTTATATGGCCACAGCAATGGCTAGGTGATGTTAGGAATCAAGTTAAATGGAAATTCTCATAATCCAAAGTGAAATAACCTGCAGTGCAATGCACATTTAATTATAGCCATTAGCCAATCAACAAATACAAATACAATAATATCTGGAACAACATCAGATTTTGGATAAATAAAATTAGCTTGACATCATCAGTACAATTATAACAGCAAAACCTGGGCTCTTATCTTAAGAGCAGGATTTTAAAAAAACAAAAAACCTTTGCAACCATTTTGGTTATATTTAGGCTCACATCTGCAAGGCAAAAGGTGACATAAAATAAATCATTTCTCCCTGGGAACCTTAGAACTAATAAATCTACAAGTTCTTTCTTTATATTGCGATAGAGGGTAGAGGGTAGAAGGACATGTGTCATGGTTAAGTAACCTAAATGCAAAGACTGGACTTTGGAAGGAAAAAAATCCCAAGCAGATCTTAAGAACAAAAAAACACCCATTCCAATGGGCCACATTTATTTTGATAGCATTCTCCAATTTAGTGCCGTCCAATTGGGGTGAACTTTAGTACCCTCACTACCAGCACAGTAACCTGACCACGGCTTGGTGGAAGGAGTGTGCCTTCAGCTGGGAACTCTTTATGCATATTACTGAAATAATGCAGCCTTTTCTCTAGTGCACCAGAGAGGCAATGTCCCAGAGCTGCGGGCATTTCAATTCGCTATCTGCTTCCTGCAGAACGCTTTCTTCATTTGCACTTGGCAAAATTCCTTGAAGACACAAATTGTCTTGAAAGGTTAGATCTCCATTGTAGAGTGGGAGCAACTCGATGCAAGAGTGAGATGGAGCAAGTCTGGAAGGCAAAGACTGAAGGCAGACAAGAGAAAGTTGGAATAGTGATGCATGGCATCTGGGGGGCTCTGGATGGATTCAGAGGGGCCACAAGGAATCCAGAAGGGCAGATCTAGAAAAGTGAGTTTCGTTGTAGCAACACAATCCTGCCCACAAGAAAATAAGCAGGTGGGAAGAAGCACGAGCTGCAATTTTAGTTCTCCTAGAGATCTCAACTGGGTTCACACACTATGCTAAATTATGGTTTATCCAACTCTGGTTTATTGAATAAACCACCATTAGCTGGGTTCATATTGCCCACTAAGACACAAATCCTAGTTGAAATTATATTTATTATTGCCAAAAGACCCAAATAGCAAAATACAGATCTAATCAAGGCAGTTTAATGTAAAATCAATCAGTTTGGCAAATAAAGTTAGTAAATCTAAAACAAAACATTAAAAAAGTCAGACTTATTAAGGTAAAGACTTTACTTTTATAGCCACCCTTAAAATTTGTCTATTGTCGCTGGAATTCTAAGAATTTTATCAGAAAATAAAATTTGGACATATTCAGTATCTCTTCCACACCTTGACTTTATAAACCCTAGCTTATAAACACTGGAATTTATTAGGCCAAAATCAAATAAATGACACTATTTCTTAGTGTGAAGAGAAAGTTCAATATTAGTTTTCTTGGGTGGGGGTTACTGAGGAGCGTTCCATCATGAGATCATACCATAACCATGGGTTTACTACCACAACAGAACTACATCAGCCTCCCTACTTGTAATAAGGGAGGAAACCAAACAAAGACCATTCTTATTCAAGCAAAGAAGTCAACTTTTGGGGGGTAAAGGTCTTATTCCTCTTAAACAGCTTGCTGGAAAAGAAACTACCAGAAGAAAATGCCTGAAAACTTCTCTGTACACATTTGCAGCCAGAATTCTGAGAGTCTTAATCCCAGCAGACCTGGAAGAGGTCAAGTTAAGCAAGGATGTCCCAATTTATTCCAGATCTCAGGCTTCCTCCTAATGGGTGTTAAAGCACTTGAACATATGCTAACACTTGTTTTTAAGACGGGGGATACCCCCAGTCTTTGAAATTCAGGAATTACACTTCGTTCCTGCCAGGCCCACTCAAACATCTTTGGCACCAACCTGCGCCATCCATCCATTCAAATTGCTTGAACTTCTGTTGATAGGGCTCGGAACAGGCCCTCATTTCAATGGAAAAGGGGTGACAACAGGGAACAATGGACTGCTGCCAAGAGAAATTAATTTATCTGCAGGGAACTGAGCCAGCCTGCATGTTTTGCCTTTGTTATCCAAAGAACACTAGGAATGTGCTTACTGCTCCAGACTGAAAGTGCACCCAGCAAAAGGCTCAGCCGAGAACTTGTGTGTTTCAGAGGAGAAGGCAAGAGAACTGGTTAGGAGGACACAAAGCTAGCCAGTAGGCTGCAAAAAAGCCAAGATTTTTTTTTTCTAAAAAGGCACTTAATAATGTTCTTGGCAACCAGGTGTTGTGTCTGAAGGTCTCTAAATCACAAGTTCTTTGGAATTAAAAGTGGCTGTCTTGATCTATCCAAGGCTAGGATATGTGGGTATGAATTTTTTTGAAGCTTTGTCCTTCCTCACTTGACATGGTGTTGTGTACACATCACTCACACCTGGCTGTAAGCAAAGCACTTGCCAATCTAAGGAATCTATTTCTGAAATTGGTGTACAAAGGTTTTCAGGCCAAGAATGCATGTTGGCTTTAAATGAATGGCACTGGGGCAAAAGCTGACTTTAACACTTAAATAAATTCATATAAAGACGGCCCACATACTTAATAGTTTTCCCTGTTGCATCAAAGATCACATTATGATGGCAACAGTAGATGGAAATCTGGTGGCTATCTCCAAGACTTTAGGAAGCTTAAAGCTATAGGTTGTATATATTTGTTCTAACTATTCATTCCAATTAAGCAAAATGATGGGGGGGGGGTCTTCCTTTAGGCCAGAGGTAGGGAACTTGTGGCTTGTCAGATTGTGATAATTATAATTAACTTACAGCCTCCCTCACTGTCATCAAAGCTACCTGAAGATCCCCAGCATTTAAAGGATTACAGGTTTCTTAATTCCCATCCTAGGCTTTTAAAGGATTTGACAGCAAAGAGGTGCATATTTTATAACTTTTGACCATATATAGGCTACTACAAAACATAGAAGGTTGTGCAATGCACTATCTCCACTGGAGACTAAACCCTTTGGAGGTTTGAAATCTGTATGGAGAAAGAAACCCCAGATTTTGGAGAAAGCTTGCCAAGCAATAAGAGAAGTGGCAATCTTGGTAGGATTGACACTGATTTGTGTAACTGACACCAAGTTCTCTGAGGGCCTGCCTATTCTCCCCTACACCATCCAGATCAGCTTACAAATACATAAAAAATAGTTAAACTTTTTAAAAGAAAACAAAACGAGATATATCTAAGCTTAGAAAGAAATAAACGCAAAGCCTGTTTATTATAGCTACATTAGCATGTGGCCAAGATATCTGAACCCAGAACTTGAAAGACTATCCAGGTGTCCATGGCAAAAGCTTTGAAGATGTTGCAGCATTAGCTGGACAAGCATTTCCTTGGCCACTGTGGAAAAATGCTGGACTAGATAGGTCTATCTATCTTTGGTCTAATCCAACCAGGTTCTTGATATGCTTCATCTATTCATGAATTAGCTGCATTTATGAAGTAGACTCTATTTCATAACTCCTCCCACTATGAAACTGAGATCCTTTAAGCGTTTCTAAGATGCACAAGATTTAGAGTATTTAATTTTAGGTTTCCTGGAAACTCCAAAATAATATCTACAACAGCCTGTAACTTTAAAGGCTTCTGATCCTCCCTAAAAAAAGAAAAGGAAAAAAAACGACCATTTTCAGAATCACTGGGTTCACAGGTCTCACAGAAAATTCCATTGTGAGAAACTGGAGACAAAGTCTTGATAAATCATGAGCTACCACTGGTTCTCCAAAAGAAAATAGTATTTTGGGGTTGTGGTTCCCCCCCACCCCTCTTTTTAGTTTAACAACCAAAGTAGATTCAAAACAGATTAAAAAAATAAAACAGAGCAATCATACTCTTAAATGTTAACCTTATTGATTAAGA